GTTTCCATGCCTTCTTTAATGATCAAATTTAATCAGGAATAAAAGGGCAGCTGCCATAAGGCTGTCTGCTAATGTGCTCATCATCTGTTTACAAACCAGACAGGATTCTAACAACAATCTGATTTCTCCTGAAGCTTCTGTTTTCTATTGACAAGAAATGAGATGAAAGGATATGCATCTGTTTCCCATTTTGTGACCTTTGGCTTGTCCTGAACTTTCAAAGTTGTCTATTTAATGCTTATCATTTTGAAGATACTGACAAGACATAACTTGGAGTCACATGTAAAGGCAACAGGTTTAATGACTGGCACACTGCATTTACACAGTTGAAACCCTTCAAGAGTAACATCTGTTAGCAAAACAGAAGAAGAAGAAGAAGAAGAAGAAGAAGAAGAAGAAGAGGAAGAGGAAGAGGAAGAAGAAGAAGAAGAAGAAGAAGAAGAAGAAGAAGAAGAGATTGGATTTATACCCCGCCCTTCACTCGGAGTCTCAGAGTGGCTTATCCTTTCCCTTCCCCGCCCCACAACAGACACCCTGTGAGGTAGGTGGGGCTGAGAGAGCTCTTTCAAAAACTACTCTTTCAAGAACAGATCTGACAGAACTATGGCTTGCCCAAGGTCATCCAGCAGCTGCAAGTGGAGGAGTGGGGCATCAAACCCAGTTCTCCCAGATTAGAGTCTGTGCATTTAACCACTACACCAAACTGGCTCTCAGCTTGATCCCAGCTGCACTTTTCTGGGGTCATAGGAGGATGCTGGGAAAAGGCAGGGAAAATCTTCTGCCTGTGGAATGATAGCAGGAAACAACCTAATAAATACGGATCATCATAATCAATAATAAAATATTTAATAAATTCAGTGCTCACACCATACTGTAGAGAGACCAACACCATATTACATTGGTAAATTATACATCTTAAGAACCATGGTGTAAATCGTGGACCAGTCCATTGTTTTCAGTGTTCAGTGTTCTTGTCAGTTTGCATAAAAATAGATACAACATGGCCCTTCTTTTGGCAACTGCTTTTAACACAATCAGAATTAGGGATGGGCACTAACTGACTGACGAACTAAAGTTCATCACGAATTTTGGGCAGTTTGTGGCTCACAAGACAATGGTTGTGAAGAACCGCCATGAACTTCCATTAATTTTGATGCAGTTTGTGGCATTTATGGCAGTTCATGAAGAGCCATTTAAACCACTGCTTTCTGCTTCCAGCGAAAAGCTGTGAGGAGCAGAATATGGGTTTCCAAACAGCTTAGCTGTTTCGTTTAAATGGCTCCAAACCATTTAAACCCTGCTTTCTGCCCAGGTTCAAAGCCATTTAAACTACACAGCTGAGCAGCAGTCCCCGCTGCTCAGCTGTTTGGAAACCCCTGCTTTCTGCTCCGTGTGGCTTTTTGTGGGGAGCAGAAAGGAGGGTTTAAATGGCTTGGAACCATTTAAACCAAATACCTGAGCAGCGGTTCCTGCTACTCAGCTGTTTTGAAACCCTGCTTTCTGCTCAATGCAAAAAGGCATGGAGAGCAGAAAGTAGGGCTTTAAACTTCAAATGGCTCACAAGCTGATTCAAACCAGTGTGGTTCGCGAACCCGCATATCAGTTCATGGTTCTATTTTTGGTTCAGCCATGAACCAAACTGCAAAAATGCTGTCCATGTGTATCCCTAATCAGGATAGTTGGTAATTTTCAATTAGCAGCTCTAAGTAACTCAATTGCAAATGACAATATTTGCTATTTTAAATATCTGATGCTGATCAGAAATTCTTAAAATGTACTACAGGCTGTTGGTTAGTTTATAGCATGTCTAACTTGCCAGATCTCATTCTGCTGTTTTAGTACACCAACAGAGATGCAGGAAAGCCCTCTAGTGTCTGTTAGCCTGACATACACACAATCAGAAAGATAAATGCTGAACTGCTTACAAGGGTCTTTAAAATAACAGAGCAAGGCTCCCTAGTCAAATAATTTGTTGTTGATTTAAATATTTTTGGTTGAGTTTAAATATTTTGCCTGGTGTCCAAAAATACCCCTTCCTGTACAGTGTTCCATATAAGCAGCCTTGCATTTAAAGGGAACTTTTAAAGCTGCTTTCACACAGAGGTTTTTCCTCTGTACTAGCATCCAATCTGGAACACTTGGGGGGGGGGATACACACAACATCCCACTCTAATTGTGCTCTGTGTATATAAGCACAGGGACATAGTTGGAGGGATATTTGGTCCCTCCTTGACCTCTTCTCAGAATTTTCAACTTTCATTTCTTTTTTGAAAAAACTTTATCCCTTTGATTTAGGGAGAAATAAGACCAACAAATTTGCAGGCAATATTTGAATCTTATTGTTCGATTAAAAATAAACTTCCAGCTTCTGGCATTTGGCCAATGGATGCAAAAGCATGTGATGACTGACAAGCATTTGCCCCTTAAATGCTTTTTATCATTTTAAAATGTTTAATATGTTCAGTTCTTTCAAACACCTTAGATTAGTGGTGTGTACTGTTTTTGATATTTGTCTTTTATTTATTTGTTACATTTTTATCATGCTTTTTCTTTCTTGGAACTGAAAGCAGCTTACAAAGAATGGCTCTCTTCCATCACTTCCAGACCTGCTTCACTTTAGTGGGGCTGTTGTGTCATGTGACATCAAACCATATGGGACCAGGTGACTTCCCACAGTTGACTTACAATGCCCCATCCCCATGTTTTCCAAACTCCCTGTTCTTATCATGACATATGTGGCCAAAGATCTTAACCCACACAAGACTCCCAGTGATCTTATTGGTAGATTCTCCCTCTGCAGACATTTTTAGTATCATGACTCTAGTAACTTGATTCCTGATGAGCAATAATATCCATGAAGATCAACCCATCATTCTGAAAAGGCTATTAGTAAGGAGGGAATACAAGCCAAATCTTACACTCAAGACAAACGGAACAATTTTTCTTGTCCTGTTTGTTATCATTATTGTATCTTACATTTAATTTTTTTTAAAAAAAACTATTTTCTGCACAATCTGGTGTAATTTAATAAATGTAATGACTTCTCAGTGGTGCTTAGGAAGCAGATCTGAGCATGGGGAAGAGAGGTTATTTATAATACTGCAACATTAATCGTTTTGTACCCTTAGTAGTACTTTGTGTCTCTGTTTAGGGTAGTGGCCAACTCCCAACATGAGTCAGAGTTATGCACAGAGGTCATTTTGGGGGGGAATGCGGGGGAACACAGTTCCCCCGGGTGAGGTGCAGGGGGCGGGGCACATGACAAAGCCCCGCCCCCTGCTTCCGGCCGCCCCGCTTCCAGACCTCATTCAGCCAGGAGGAGGCAGGAGAAGAGGGAGGGTAAGTTGCTTCCTCCCCGCCTCTCCCCACCCCTGCCTGCCTGGGGCCAGGGAGGGCCTTGGTGGGGCTTCCTCGCACTCCCGCTGGCCTTGCAAGTCCACTGCCGGGCCCCTGATGTCAGGGGGTGTGGCATATGCTAATGAGTTGTGCTAATGAGTTCCCCTAGCTCTTTTTCTACGAAATGACCCCTGGTTATGCATATTGTGATAAAAGTATTAAGGGTTGTTCTGTAAAGCTGAAATTAAAATAGGGAAGCATTCATGCGTAGAGTGGGAAGTGAAAATGGCCTCGGCAGAAGAAGCCATGCTGAGCAGCCTTTGCAGCACTACAAGTCAGGGCTCCAGGGACCATTTTGCCCAACATGACAGTGTTCCTGTGGCCTAGATGCCCATTTTGCATGCTGAGTTACACTATCTCAGCTTCCATTTAATTGTATGCAACCTAGGAAAATGGCCCCAAATAAATTTAAGGTGGAAGCTGAATGAAACGTTTATTAGAAATATAGTGCCCTGACTCAGCAGAGTAAAAACAGTGAAGGAAGGAGGGGGCAACAAAGCTTTCTTCCTAAGGAAAAGATGCTGCAGGATAGAGAATTTGAGATTTAGTAATGGATTCTCTGGAAGAACCAGGATCAGTGACATGGCAGAGAGATGGAGGACAGAAATCTGACTAAGAAGAATTTGATGGTATTGGGAACTGAAAGCAGAATTTAAAGTAGCCATAGCTTCAATATAACCTGAGAACAATTCAGTTTGTCTAACCACCACAACTTTTGGAAGGCAGATATAGTAGACATATATTCTAACCATTGTGATCACCACATTGTCTTCATTCAGAAGCTACATAAAGCCACCGCAATTAAACTCCCATTGGCCACTATGGGCACAAATGTGACTTATTTGGCATCCTCTCCCTTCTTACACGAATTGTGAAGAAAAACTTGGATGGAAACCAAACTCTAGTTGCCTTTGGCATCTGACTACAGGTGCCTGGGCCACTTGGTTTGCTCCCACCCCAAGCTGGAATTCTAAATCAGGGATGAATCCTGGTTTAAAATTGTTGCCTTCAATTTGTACTTGAATTATAGTCCAATTTTGCTATTTTATTTTTGACACATTGAACAGCAGAGGGAGCTATATGAGAAGGAGAAAGGATCCATGTCTGCTGAAGTCAGTTGAATATTTTAAAATATTCATTTTAATCCCAGCAAAATAATTGAACAGTACAAATATCTATCACATCGAAGTAGCAGGATAAATTACAGGCAGCAGATAAACTTTTCCCTGGTAATTTGACCAGTCACCGACATCTCATCTGCTCCACTTGGCTTCACAAGGGCTACAACTATTCTATTTCTACAGTATTTTAACAGCTCCCAAGATCCCTTCCCCCCCCCCAACACTCCCTAGATCCCATGAACATGATCACCTGAAGCAGTAGAAAACAGCAAGAGTCCTTAGCACCTTAAAGACTAACAAAATTTGTGGCAGGGTATGAACTTTTGTGAGTCACTGTTCACTTTTTCAGATACAGATGAACCTACCTTATACTGCATCAGACCCCTGGCCCATCAAAGTCAGCATTGTCTACTCAGACTGGCAGCCGCTCTCCAGGTCCCAAGCAGAGGACTTTCACAGCACCTACTGCCTGGTCCTTTCACCTGGAGATTCTGGGTATTGAACCTAGGACTTTCTGCATGGCAAGCAGATGCTCTACCACTGAGCCACAGCCCCTACCAAAGGTGTACAGAAGGTGTACAATACTGACTTTCTAGGTCTGCTTGCCTTATATTGCATTCTATAGGTCGCTTTCAACTGTAGCTGCCTTTAAGTTTTCAAATAGGCCATTACTTATGGAAGGCCTTTCCAAATAGGGATGGGCACAAATTGAGAAAATGCAGTGTGCTTTGGTTCATGGTTTGTGGGGGACCCACAAACTGAACCATGGATCATCACAAACTAAAAAGGCTTCATACGAACCAAACTAGTTCATGAAGTTCATTATGTGATAGAACCACCACACCCTGGCAGGCTAGAGACACCAAACTCAAAGGGGATCTCCAGCTGACTCTCCTCTACCTGCCCTCCAAGTTTGGTGATGATTGAATTTATGGCCTCCCAAAGAAGGTGCCCCCAGGAAAGTGCTTTCTGGGGAAATGAGGCACAGGTTCAGGAGTGTATAGAATAGACCCCGGTGTGCTAGAGACACCAAACTCACAGTGGCTCTCTGGCTGACTGTCCTCTGCCTGCCCTCCAAATTTGGTGATGATTGAATTTATGGCCTCCCAAAGAAGGTGCCCTCATCCTCCAGTGTTTCCTATGGAGGAAAAAATAACAAAAAAACAAGGGCAATAGAAGCCCAGCAGAACAGAACCAAAGTCCCCAAGAACCTCTGCAGTAGAAACTGAAGGTGAGAGGCATTTTTGCCCACCCAGCCGAATCAGTGCAATGTACCCTGAGACCACCTGAGACCCATAACTGAAAGCATGAAATGATGCATGTAGATGTGGTGGCTCAAAGCCCTGAGATGTATGTAGATGTGGTTGCTTGAAGCCCTGAGTCCACCCCTGACACCCAAACCCCAAATGGTGCGACAATGCATGTATATGTGGTGGTTTGAAGCCCTGAGATGTATGTAGACATGATGGATTGAAGCCCAGAGTCCAGCCCTGACACACAACCCCCAAAGCGTGCAATGACATATGTAGATATGGTGGCTCAAAGCCCTGATAACGGCTGGCCATGCACAGCAATCATTTCCTCAATGAGGTGAATGAGTGATTGCTTCCAGGGCCCTTCCCCAAGTCCTTTTGGATAGCACTGTTGTATTGTCGTCCCTGGGAGAATGACCTCTTGAAGGGTGGCCTGGAAATGGTGGCCCTGAGTCCACTGGAAACCCCAAACCCAAAGCATGCCCACAATGCTCACAGCCCACCCCCCAAGGCTGAAATACACAACCAATATTTTGAGGACAGATATCCCCAGAGTTTCAGTGGGGGCTCCCCACAGTACTCCCATGGCAGCTGGAAGTGTATAATAAAAGTGGGTACTCAGTTGAGGAACCCACTAGTTAAGGCTTACACACAAAGGTACAGAGCACACCCACCAATGGGGGTGTATTATTCTACTCTGCAACTGGGTCCAGTGCACACTGATCCATCAGGGTAAATTTTTCTATGAGGATAAATGGAAACACGTGTGAAGCTGGTAGGGCCACCTCTCGAGTCTAAAAAGACAGACCAGGTATCCCAAGTCTAAAAAGACAGACTAGCAGACCAGGCATCCCCAGCGTTTTGATGGGGCTCCCCAAAATAATCCCATGGCTGCTTGCCAGACTCCCAGCCAGACACCACAAGGAAGGGAAGCATGCCCACAACGCTCCCAGGCCCCCTCAGGCCCAAACACATAGATACTCTGGGCACAGCCCACCTCTATGTGAAATTTCTGGTTATTCACCATTATCAGAACACATTCTACAGATAAGAGGTCACCTGTTGTGACTGTGAATTGTACAAATGCAGTGGAACGGGGTAGTCAAACAGGGGCTTGCTTATACAGGCAGATGTTTGCTGAGGCAGATGTTTGCTAAAGTGGGTGTTGTTCTAAGAGGTAGGCATTGTGCTATCAGGTAGATGTTGGTTCATGAGGTAGGTGTGTTCTCATGAGGTAGACATTGTTTGGGTTGGGTGTGGGGACAGCCCACTCCCACCTGGCAGAGGGGGGCCATCCGTCCACCCAACCACCAAGGGTGCAACCCGCAGGCTGGATCACCCAGAGAGGAAGAGGGATGGGAGGACACATAGGGGGACATGAGTAGGCCTGGATCTTACTCCAACAGATCCAGAGTGGGGTGGCCCAGCAGGGGGACATTCACCTTCAGGAAGGACAACTTGTCCACTCTGGCTGGGTCCAAGCAGGAGCGGTGGAGGCTAAGAAGTTCTGCCAGGTGAGAGAACATCTGCTCGCTCTGGACACTGGTGGGAGGGCAGGAGAGGATATTCATGGCTATGCCGAGATGATGGCCTTGTGTGACCAGTATTCAAGGGGATCAGCGGAGGTGGGCTCAGGGGACTCAGCGAGGTACTCCCTTATCATCTCTGCCAAATTCTCCACCATGACATGCCTGGCCTCCTCATCCCTGCTGCTGACCTCTCACTTCAGTACCGACAACTAGTAGTGGGTCTTCTGCCTAGTTGGGCTCTTGGAGGCAGAGGTGCTGGTCTGCAGCTCCCCCCCCCAGTTTTTTCCACCCACTGTTCCCGCTGGCCATGTCTGCTGGCCTGAAACCTCCATGCTTCTTTGCAGAGCTCACGCTTCCACTCCATGAGCTCTGCGTTATGGAGAGGAATGCTGCCCTTAATCTGTGGGTTGCAGACACAGGCCAGCTTGTACTCCCGTTCTTTGCAGAGAGGGTGCAACCTGATGGCAGTGCTCACCTGCAACCTCTCTGCCAAGGCCCAGACCCATGGGAGTAGAGCTATCCCCTCGGTGCCCAGCAGCAGTGCAGAGGCCAATGCCTAGTCCAGCCCTCAAATCAGGGTGGTTACTTGCTCCAGGCTGGCCATGTGGGTGCAGAGCATGTCAGTGGTGCCCTGGAAGGGCTTCAGAACACGCACCATTTGGGAGAGGGTCAGCCAGTCGTTCGAGCTGATGCTGAGCTCTTCTTCCCTTTGCATGATGGTAATGACAGATATGACATCTTGTACTATGCTCTTTTGCTCCAAGAAACTCACTATTATGGCACAGGTGGAATTCCAGTGAGTGGGTAGGTCCTGAATGAGCCAGTGTTCAGGCTCAGCCCCCTCCCCCTGCCTCTCATGCAGCAGACATGCAGACTTGATGCTGCATGAGAAATGGGCAGCCAGACACCAGCAAGTCTCAAGTAGGGACCACAGCTCAAGGGTGGCAGCATCCCAAGTAGGCCTCAGAGTGCTTCCCAAACCCAGAGCATCCTTCACCACAAGGTGAAGTGTGTGCACCAGGCAGACAATGCCCTTGAGGCATGCAGTCTTCACCACTGCCAGTATGTTGGTGCCATGCGGTCTGCATCCACCCCCTGTGCATGGAGCAGAACCACTTTGTAGCCAGGTGGCAGGACTGTCCCCTCCTGAGGCCTGGGCCCCACAATCCGGACAGTGAGGTTCTCTGGTTGCCACCAGTGGGCAATGAGAGAGAGGTAGCTGTGCTGCCGGCTGCTCCAGAGATCCACGGTGAAGCTTGGCCTTGCACTCTGGAGAGCACACTCTTGACCACTGCCACTGTGGAGCGGTGCTTGGCAGGCAAGATTCACCGGCTCATGGTCCTCCACAAGGGGACAGAGTACCAGGGGGCAGGGTGGTGCAGCAGCTGGTGAAAGGCTATGTCTTCCATGAGGCGGAAGGGATGGGATGTGGAAAGGGAGGATGCTTCCTCCCCAATCTCTGTCAGAGTCCTCTCCAAAGACCTTTAGTGACTGCTGGTGTCTGGACATGGCTAAAATCTCTGTTTCCACTCAGGAGAGCCCCAAGGACTGCAGGGGAAGAAGGCTCTGAGACCCCTGGTGCTGCCCTGTTGGGGTGGGGATTCAGGGGGTGGTAGGCTGGGTTTGGTGCCCAGAGACAGGGGTCTCTGATACATGGGGGGAGAACTTATCCCTATTATGAGCACCCCTTCCAGCCACTTTCACCCTCATGGTGTTTACAAGCAGTCAGGAGGGGTGGGTATAAATGTGGGCCCTTGTCTGAGGCACCCACCAGCTAAGACGTGCTCAGCTGGAACAAAGAGACTGTGTGGCTCAGAGCCCTGAGTCTACCTACCTACACCCAAACCCCAGCCACGAAGAGCAGATCACAAGTAAGAGGGGTGAGGAGTATATAAATGTGGGTCCGCTGGGGAGGTACCCAGTAGCTAAGCCCCAGAGCTCAGTGTGAGCACGGAGACTGGGTGGCTCAGACCCCTGAGTTACCTACCTACATCCAAACCCCAGCAGCAGAGAGCAGATCACAAGAGGGGTGGGGGTATATAAATGTGGGTCCTCTGGGGAGGCACCCAAGCTAAGCCCCAGTGCTCAGCATGAGCACAGAGACTGTGTCCACTCCACAACCAAACCCCAGAAGCAGAGAGCAGATCACAAGCAGGAAGCAATGAATCCCAGCAGCAGAGAGCAAATCACAAGCAGAAAGCAAAACAATGCTAGCTCCATGCCTCTCTCTCAATTCACCAGACAACAAAGAAGAAGAAGAAGAAGAAGAGATTGGATTTATACCCCGCCCTTCACTCAGAGTCTCAGAGCAGCTTACAAACTCCTTTCCCTTCCCCTCCCCACAACAGAGGTGGGGCTGAGAGAGCTCTGACAGAAACTGCTCTTTTTCAAGAACAGTTCTTATCAGAACTATGGCTTGCCCAAGGTCATCCAGCCAGGTGCAAGTGGAGGAGTAGGGAATCAAACCTGGTTCTCCCAGATTAGAGTCCGCACACTTAACCACTACACCAAACTGGCTCCAAAGAGGGTGGGAACAGAGCTGGCGAATATATAGCCTTCTGAGCCCATAGAGCAGAATGGGAACTCTGTGACTGACGGCCAGCAGTGCCTATTAAGCTTTGGAAGACTCCTATTGGTGTTTCCAAGGATGCAGAATTCTACTCCCTTTGTTGCCTTAGAGTTTTGTAAACAGTTTAATTGATTGGCACCAGTCTGTCGCCATTCACAAACCACCAAGAACAGCGCTAAAACTTCATGCCACAAATTTCAGTTC